CCAAACGTGCACACATGTGTGTGTGCAAAGGGCACACCAGCATATAGCTGCATGCCTGTGGTTGGGCCTTGTGGGCAGAAGACCTCTCCCTCTTCCCAGCTCTATACATGAGCTTCTGTGCATAGCTCATGGTGAAGGCCAAGGTCAATGAGGGGGTTCAGAAAGCCATGATGGGCCTTGTGGGCAGAAGACCTCTCCCTCTTCCCAGCTCTATACCTGAGCTTCTGTGCATAGCTCATGGTGAAGGCCAAGGTCAATGAGGGGGTTCAGAAAGCCATGGAATATATCAGAGTGGGGTGACTGGAAGCTAAAGGCTGGGAGTTGGGAGGGCTGAGTGACGAGGGGCAGGAACCTGGGCCCACCTTTGAAACGGTGGCTGAGGATCTGCTCTAAAATGGCTGCGAAATTAACAAACTCCTCAGATGAGTCATCGATGGGCTCCCCTGTGTACTTCTCCAGCAGTGTTTTCACAGAGAACCTGGGTGGGGGGGTAGGCAGACGGGGCAGTGGGGTATCAGGTGAGAAGATGGGGTGATGGTGGTAGAGGAAGGGTGTCAGGCAAAGAGAGGGAGTGGTGAACAGAAAAGAAGTCATGAAGGGCATGGATGTGGTGGGAAGGCAGAGGGAAAGTGGGAGACAGGTGAGACAATAGTGACCACAGAGGTGCCATGTCACGGGAAGTAAGAGGGTGGCGTGGGGGGAGGGATGATGACAGATGGGAGACTGGTTGACAAAGTTGGTGACAAGAGAGGTGACAGCCAGTGAAAGGAAGCTTCAGGAACAAGGTCTGAGAGGGGATGAGACAATAGGCAGAAAGATGAGGCACCAAGAGCCAGGGGCTGTCGCTGTCCCAGAATCCCTTCCTCCTTGACCACTGTCAGCTGCACTCTCTATGTGTGCGAGTTGGGTGTGAACTAGGAGTCAGAAACTGGTTTGTGCCCCTGCCCTGAGCTGTCTTCTGCTATTGCTGGAACAACCTTCAGTCTCTTCTGGGGATGGGGGACCACCTGTGCCAGGGCATGTGAGTTGGCCCTGTGCACACGGAGCATGGGCATGCATGGGTGGCCAGGTGGGCTCTCAGAACACGGGTTCCCCCCTTCCCCCTTTTCCTTCCTGGCTTGGCCACCCACACACCAGCTGCCCAGAACCAGGCAGTGCAGAGCACGATGGGGGGTGGTGCGGGGTGTGGGTCTCACACACATACTGGGTGGGAGGGGGCATTAGCAGCAGATCCCTGGAAGGGGCTTGGGGGCCCAGACACCTGGCTTCTTGGGGAGGAAGGGAGCAAAGGGAAGGCAGTGGGGCTGAAGGACTGGAGCCAAGCCGCCCCCATCCTTCTCTTCAATCCTGCTCAAAGCCTCAGACCCCTTCTGCATCCCTACCCCTGCAATCTCCATGTGCCGTCCCTGCATTGGGATGGAGCAGGGATGAGGACACAGCTCCTAACATCCCATTATTGCCCTGTTGTGGGTGGCAGAGCAGGGGCGGGTGTCCACAGATATGGGAGCTGCTTGGAATTGACCTTTGTTTCTTTCTATGTTTATGAAGCCCTATAATAAGCCAAGCATGATGCTTTGCATGTACTCCCTCATATATCCTTACCACAGCCCTGGGAGGTAGGTCCTCTTGTTATCACCATCATCCCCATTTTACAGATAAGGAAGCTGAGGGTCCAAGAGGTGGACTGATCTATTCAGAGTCACATAGCTCATGAAGAGTCAGGCAGGTATGTCTTACTCAAAAGCCCTTGCTCCTTCTGCTACATCTTGTGGCCTCCTGGCAGTGTCACAATTACCAAGGCCCTGAGCAGCCTCCTCCAATTCTGGAGCACTGGCCTCTGAGGCTCGCAGGCCAATGGCACAGCTGAGCCCATGGCCCCTCCCTTTGGGCTTAGAGTTGGTCTGGCCTGAGATGAGAGCCAGGTCAGTGTTGGGGTTGCACTAGGGGGAGGTAGCCTGCTGGATTCAAATCCTGTTTCCTTGTGACACTTACATGGCCTTGGTCCCCTCTTCCCAGATGCAAACAGGAATAATAATACTTGCCTCATTAAATTTTAGTTCATATCATAGGCAGGGGTGGGAGAAGGTGAGCATGTATGAGCTACTGGACAGGGGTGGTGAGGAGCTGGGCCATTAATGGGAAGGCCTGCCCTGCCTGGAGGGAGCCTGTGTTTAGGGCATTATGCACCCTGTCCTCCTCAACTTGATGATTTATTCTGGTCATCTGGGTCAGACCTCGAATGGGAGACTGGGGCTGGTTCAGTGTGGCAGCCATCTGCCATCTGGTCTCGGGTGCTGCAGAGCTGGTCATCACCCCCAAGAACCCCATAGTGTGTTCCCTGATAGAAGGTGCCATAGCTGCTGCTGGTTACCATGGAGACAGGAAGGCCAGGGCCCAGGGGAGCCCATGGCCTGCTAAAGGGAGCTGTTCTGGGAGCTGGAGGTGAATCATGTGACAGTGATGAGGCAGCAGGGGCCCGAGGGGTTTCTGAGCTTTTGTCATGTCCCCGATCCCCCAAAACTATCCCTCACCCCTGAGCTCTACGCTACCTCCAATCCACCAGAACCTCTGCTTTTCCAACTTAGGCCAAGGAGAATTCTCTCCTTCCTCCCCACACTTAAGAGGCTCAGCTATCCTGGCAGGCAAGAGAAATAAGAGGAACCTAGGAGGTCAGGAGTGAAGTGAGGGGCAGGAAGGGTGTCATCAGGACAGAGCCATTTCTGTGTGCCAGGCACCAAGCTAGGCTCCTACATGGATGATGTCATTACCATTCTTTGGTATGGCTGTCACTTATAAAATGGGGATGATAAAGCATCTAAGGCCCAGAGTGATTAGGAGACTTCCCCAAGGTCGCACAGCTAATAACCAATGAAGTAAGAGTTTGAACCTAGGGCCATCTGGCCCCAAAGACAGGAATCTTTATTTTACACCACACTGGCAGTGCTTGGGGGGTTGAGGATAGAGGTGGTAGCCTGCACTTTGGGCTGGGCCATGGCTGCACTAAACCTTCCATAACATCCCAGGCATTATTACAGAGGTCTGATGTGCGCAGCGCTGTGCTAGGCACTAGGGGGGAAATGGTGTGAGAAAGGCGCAGTATGGTGTGTGTCCAGGAGCCTGGAAGGAGCTATAGGAGACAGGAGCCAGGGCATTATGTGGATGCTGGTTCCTGGGAGAAGGAGCTAGGCTGAGGCCTATGTGCAGGCAGACGGGGCTGACAAGGAGAAATGGTGTGAGAAAGGCGCAGTATGGTGTGTGTCCAGGAGCCTGGAAGGAGCTATAGGAGACAGGAGCCAGGGCATTATGTGGACGCTGGTTCCTGGGAGAAGGAGCTAGGCTGAGGCCTATGTGCAGGCAGACGGGGCTGACAAGGGAAGACAACTGAGCCCTGCACCCAGAGCACCCCGCCCCGGGAGGGCAACACCTGGTGGGAATGGGGGGCAAGGGAGATTGCTAGTGGAGAAGGCAGCTGACATGGGGACCCCAGAGGGAGAGGTGAGTGCAGGTGGAGGCTACAGGGAGAGTGGCTGAGCAGCTGGCTATTTCCTGGCTTCAGGGCAGGACAGGGAGGGTGAATCACTGCAGGATTGAAGTGGGAAGGATCACTTCCTGGGCCCCAAGAAAGCAGGCAAATCTTCCCAACCGTGTGACAGCCTCTCAGGGACCAGTGGCCCTGCCCTCCAAATCTCCTCCCCTTGAACCCATGAGACCCAGGCTTCTGGCGCTAGGTCTTTTGTCCTTCCTACAGCATGGGCAGTGAGTGACCCTCACCCTTCCCTGCGTGGATTCAGCTGCTTTGCCCACATGCTCAATTGATCCTGCCACAGGCTGCAGCTGCCCAGAGATGGAACAGGACACCATTCCTGCTCCAGGATTTGAGCATCAGAAAGTCTCCCAGGAAAGCCCCACCCCAGAGAGGCCAGGCTGATAGGATTTGGTAATGAGGGTATGCTCGGAGGGCGTTCACCCCCCCATCCCCATGGGTTCCCTCTGCCCACCCAGCCTGCTCCCTACAAGGAAGCCAGCCATCCCCCTCACCCCCTCCACGCACAATGTCACTTCCTGGTTCTCACAGGAAGCTGCAGTGCCAATTAGACACCCCTTACCCCCCAGGCCCCAAGCCCGGCATAGGCCTGGCTTGGCCTACAAGGGTAAGGACCAGACTTCAACCCCCTCCCGGTTCTGGGTCGGGGAGGGACAGTGACGCGCTCTTTTAAACCCTTGGCTTCCCTTCCTTTTCTCCGCAGCTGCTGGGCATCCTCCCGCGGGCCCGCTGAGGCCAGGTTTCCGCAGCCCGCCCCAGCCCCTCTCCCTGCCCACCCCACCCCGCCCGCCAGCGGCGCCCACCTGCACACGGTCATCAGGTTCCTACGCTCCACGGCCACGTTGCGGAAAGACGCTTTCTTGGAGGACAACCCCAGAGCCATGGTGGTCTGGACAAAGCTCGATTCCATCCAGATGCGCGGCCGCTGCTGCCGCCGCCTGCTGCCCCCCACCCCACCCGGCGCCCCGGCCCCTTCTCTGGATCAGGGCTGGGCCCTCTGTCCGCCGGGCCTCCTCGACCCTTCCGCGGCCATCCCCCTGCCTCTGCGCCCGGTGCCCGGCCCCCTCGCTCCCTCCCCCGGCGGCGATTCCGGAGCAAAACAAGGCCGGGGAGGGAGCTCTCCGAGGTGCTGAGCCGGGGCCCTTCACCCCCCCGCCAGCCGCCCCCCCCCCAGCCAGTGACGTCAGGGCCCTCGGGCCCGCCCCCCAGCAGGCCGGGGACCAATCCGCAGAGGGTGTGGGTTTTGTGTGGAGGGGGAACGGCTGGGGCCCCGGGGAGGGCGGAGGAGGTCCCCGGGAGAGGCGGTGATTGGAAGCAGGTGGAGGGGGTCTGTCTGCCACCCCCGCACTCAAGGTCCGGAACTCCTCGCCTGGCGTCTCTGAGCTCTGATGCCTCTACTGTCTTGTTCCTGACCTGTAGTCGGTGGTGTCTATCTCTGGTCCCCTCCCGCTGCCTGGGGAATGGAGGTCCTCACCTCCTGCACCCCCATCCCCGCCCCGCCCCCACCCCTCAGTCTTGGCATTCTCAGAGAGGCGGGGGCTGAGTTCAGAGAGTGCAGGTGGCCCTTGGCTGCCTACCCAGGAGGCTAAGGAGCAGCCAGAGAGACTGCGTATCTGTCTGTCTGTGCTCGGGCTTGACTTGTCTGCACCAGCCTGGACGAACCGACCTCTTCTGGGGTGGAGGGTGGGAATCCAGAATAAGCCATAGGAGCCCAGCGCCTGGAACCACTCAGGACGGAGTGGGAATCAGACTGGCAATTAAGGACCCTGGGCTCTGTGGTGGCTCCCAGCGGTACAGCCGGTGCCCACAGTGGTGCCAAGGCAACAGGAGAGAGTGGCAGCCATCCCCCTCACACCATCCCAGGGCTAGCTGGCCTAAGGGTTAAACCATTGGCTGCCCGCATTGCTGCATGGTACCATCCACTCTCTCTGAATGGGGTCACTGATCCTGTGCAAGGCCAGGAGGGCCCTGCAAAACTGTTTGCAGCTTTTACCTGGAGGTGGAGGAAATGAGGCATAGTCTGGCTTCTCCATTGCCCTTGGCCTCCTTTTTGCTTTATCACATCTCTGCTCCCACCTGCTCCATTCCTCTATTCAGCCTCTTCCAGGATTCTCAGCTGGGTCCCCTTTTACTTACTGAAATCCCCAGCTTCCACAGAAATCCTTTCTATGTTGATTAAAGGCACTCCACCCAATTTCTCCCTCTGCCCTCAGGAATGTCCATCCCAGGGTTCAGCTCTTACCTATTCACCAACATTGCCTACCCACTCAGTTCACCTTCTGCCCTGCTAGTGGATGGACAATGTCTCCGCATTGATTCAGATGTGCACTCACATCTGAACATGACCAAAAGACAGGGACCCTCTGTTAGCACAAAAGGAGGAGGAGATGAAAGAACTATAGAAGTCCCTGACCCTGGTCTGACTCCCCAGGGGCTGCCGAGAAGGTCCTGACTCCCAGCATGGGAATCTTATGTGTACACAGCCTCAGCCTCAATTCTTGGCTTGTGGGACCTCAGCCTTGGTCTTTTTAGTCTCTCCTCTCTCTTCTTCCTTTGCCTCACCTCTTGCCTCACCTCTCATCCTCCTGCGTCCAGACCTGCAGCCAGTAGCAATCATGATGTTCTTTGGGGGTTTATTTATTTATTTTTCCATTTATGTTTTATGGTGGTAAAATGCCCATAACATAAAATTTACCATCTTAACATTTTTAAGTGTACAGTTCACTGGTATTAAATACATTCACAATGTGCAACCATGACCACCATCCATCACCAGAACACTTCACCTTGGAAAACTGAAACTCTGAGCCTATTGAACAATAACTCCCTATTCCCCCTTCCCCCCAGCCCCTGGCAACTACCGTTCTACTTTCTGTCTCTATGATTTTGACTATTCTGAGTGCCTCATATAAGTGAAATCTTATATGGAATCTTACAAGACAGTATTTGTCTTTTTTGTGACCGGCTTATTTTTACTTAGAATAATGTCGTCAAGGTTCGTTCATGTTGTAGCATATTGCAGAACTTCTCTCCTTTTTAAGGCTGAGTAATATTTCATTGTATGGATATACCACATTTTGCTTATGCATTCATGCATCAATGGACACTTGGATTACCTCCACATTTTAGCTATTGCAAATAATGCTGTTATGAACATGGGTATAAAAATATCCCTTGGAGACCCCATTTTCACCTCTTGGTTATATACCCAGAAGTGGAATTGCTGAATCACATGGTAGTTCTATTTTTAATTTTTTGAGGAACCACCATTCTGTTTTCTATAGTGGCCATACCATTTTACATTTCCACTGACAGTGCTCAAGTGTTCCCATTTCCCCACATCCTTGTCAACACTTGATTTTTTTTTTTTTTTGGTAGTAGCCATCCTTACAAGTGTGAGGTGGTGTCTCATTGTAGTTTTGATTTGCATTTCCCTAATGATTAGTGAAGTTGAGCATCTTTTCATGTGTTTATTGGCTATTTGTATATCTTCTCTGGAGAAATGTCTAAGTTCTCTGCCCATTTTTAAATTGTGTTGCTTGTTTTTGTTATTGAGTTCGAGGACTTCTCTATATATTCTGAATCTCAATCCCTTCTCAGATATATGATTTACAAATATTTTCTTTCCTTTCTGTGGGTTGCCTTTTTACTTTGCTGATATTGTCTTTTGATGCACAAAATTTTTAAATTTTTAAGTAGTACAAATTGTCTATTTTTTTTTGTTGTTGTTTCCTGTGCCTTTGGTGTCATATCCAAGGAATCATTGCCAAGTCAAATATTGTGAAGTTTTTGCCCTGTGTTTTTTTCTAAGAGTTTTAAAATTTTAGGTCTTTGATCTATTTTGAGTTAATTTTGAGTTATGGTATCAAAAAAGGGTCCAAATTAATTTTTTTGCATGTGGATATCCAGTTTTCCCAGCACCATTTGTTGAAAAGATTGTCCTTTCCCCATTGAATGGTCTTGGCACTCTTGTCAAAAATCATTTGATCATATACATAAGAGTTTATTCCTGGACTCTCAGTTCTATTCCCTTTGTCTGTATGTCTGTCTTTATGCCAGTACCACCCTTTTTTTTTTCTGAGTTGGTATTGTTTCTTTAGGCTTGCATTCTTCTAGAGGAAAGTTATTCAATGTTGTCCATGACTCCATACAGGCAGTAACAGTTCAGAGAAAGTGACATGTTCTAAATATGAGTCTAAATAATATAGCTTAAACATTAACTCAGAGGGTCTTTTGGAGTAAATAGTTCTCAGAAGGTATCTGCTCTCTCTTACTGAGGCGGTAAAGATCCTCCGCAGTGGGCTCAAGCAGACTTGGTGCTCTAGAGCATCAGGCATGAGCACCATTTCCATGCTTAAACTGAAACTCCACATGGTGGCAAGTTCTTCAATAGTCCCTCGTTCCACAAAACATGACAGCAAATTCATTTTCTAAAAGGTTTTTTTATTTTTGTTTTGTTTTTTGCTTTTTTTTTACCCACTCAACAGGAAAAAAAATTAGACACACAGTAAAATTTATAATTGGCAGTATCATCTATTACACTGTCTGTACTATCAGATCATACATTTAAAGCTCAGCATTATTGGGCCGGCCCATGGCTCACTCGGTAGAGTGCGGTGCTGATAACACCAAGGCCCCGGGTTCGGATCCCATATAGGGATGGCCGGTTCGCTCACTGGCTGAGTGTGGTGCTGACAACACCGAGTCAAGGGTTAAGATCTCCTTACCGGTCATCTTTAAATAAATAAATAAATAAATAAAGCTCAGCATTATTGAGTACCACACTATTTTGATAACTGTAGCTTTGTAGTAAGTTTTGAAATCAGAAAATTTGAGTCCTCCAGCTTTGTTCTTTTTCATATTCTGACTTTTATGATAATCATTTTCTTGTTTTTCCTTATAGTTTTATCACCTAGGTGTGCATCAACACAAAATATACTTTGATTTGCCAGTGTTTAAGCCTTATAGAAAGAGTCATACTACATGAATTTCAGGTGTTTCATTAGTATATTGGGGAGATTCAATATTATATTTGGGAGCTTCGTTTTCCTTATATACTATGCCAATTATGTCTATACTACAATTTATTCTGATGGCAATTTTGTGTATCAGATAGGGCTGAGTCAGGAAAATAGAAATCACATTATGTCTTTCAAATAGTGAGAATTTAATACAGGAAATTGGTTACGCAGGAATTGGAGGACTGAAAGAGCAAAAAAAGGGAACACTGAGACTAAGCAGAACTGGTAATCACAGCAAGCAGCAATGGCCAAGGAAACAAAAGGGAAGAGGGGGGGTTACCGTGACCTAGGAGCCAGAGGTGGGCCCTGCAGAGCTGAGAGGCTCAGAGTCCAAGAAGAGCCAACTGGTTCTTGGAATGTGGAATAAAGGTGAAGGCTGGAGCCAACTTCCAATGATACAATGACTCTGAACAAAACCAAAAAAATGGGAAGCTAGTCTCTTCTTCCTTCCTCCTGCCTTCCAGTCTCTCTGTAGTGCCTCCTGTTAGCAGAACCTAATGGAAAGACAGTTAGTGATGGAGTCCGGGAAACTAGTTTGCAGAGTCCCAGCTTCACCCAATACAGAGAAAATAAGAATGGATTTGGCACTGAAAGGCGCTGTCACCGTGTACCCCTTTTTCTACTCAGCATCTACACACCTTTCTATACATGTTTGAATAATAACAACTTCATGCCTTTGGCCAACAAGGCACAACCGTCCTTTGCACAACAGTGCAACAGTGGTGGCATCCACCTCTGTGTGATGTTAATACCTCTCCTAGTTCAGCCATGTTTCCTCTACAGTGTTCTGTAATCTAAAGACAGTAAAGTTCACTTCCAATTACAATTCTCATAGGAAATAATAAGGGAAAAGGAGAGGAAAATTAATATTTAAAGAGAGTATGTAATACAAACAAGCGAGAGAAAACATACCCATAGCTTCTACAATCCTCATTTCTATAACTGGCCAGAAGCGGATATTTACGACTTTCCTCTTCTATTGCTTATTTCATTTTTGCTTTGCTCCTAGCCAACACCTCAATTTGTTGTTGTTTTAACTGGGTCGTGTGACCAAATCTTCATTCTTGAAGAATCT